GTCCGTTAATTCGGGACAAGGTGATATGAATAGGAAAGAGAGAGAAGGTATTGGGGTTAAATCAATTGGAAAGGAGATAAGATTGTTGCATTCGTGTACTCGCAATTTCTCAATAGGCAGAACTAGAAGAGGAGGAAGACAGGTACCCGAAAGAGAGGGCGAAGAAGTGGAATTCCACTCTGACTCAGATATCTAGCTAATTTCTCAGAATGTACGTGAAAAAAAAAAAATCCGCCAAATGACGCTCTAATAAGGTGTTTCTCAAACTATAACTGCAGCAAAATAAATTTTTTAAATCATTGGGTCACAAATTTTTTTTTTTCGAAAAAGGTCAGCTGTTGCCATGTTGACTGTGCATAGTAGCAGCTGCCTAAATTTTTTTTAAAAACCGCCTGTCTCCTATCATGCACAGTCAGCACGACAGGGGACATACATCAAAAACAAAAAAGTGCCAGCGTTTGACGGAAATGGTTATATCAAGGTCTGTAAAATCGGGATTCTACGTGGATCAATTTTAGTTTTACAGAATCGGATCGTAGGATTGTAAGATCCCATCAAAAGCTCCTAAATTTACTAAATAAATGAATTTAAAATTCATATACCATTTTGTACATCCTAAAAGATATCAAATAAACAATTTACTCATAAATATATAGCATTTTTTACTTACTATCTGACAAGTAATAAAGAAGAAAACATAAACCTGTTATCGGTCATGATTTCAAGTCTTAAAACTAAATGCTTTACAGTTTACACAATCATAATTTCAAATATAAAATAATCATCAACCTCCACAAATACTAAAAAGCCAAACATCCAAATCCAAGATTTTCAATATCAAAATTAACTACTAAAATGTCATCTGTCAAATTTAAACAAACATGAAAAACTAGGATGAGGATCAGGCCAAGTGGGGCACTCGTATCATGGGTCAACCAGCAGCTCCAACAACTCATCCAGACAATCAGAGGGCAGCCTCATGGGTCAATCAACACCACCCCTACGTTGTTTACTCACCTGTGGTCAAGCCTAGCGAGAACCCTTGTGAATCTGTGATTCATATGTTCAATTCTTGGAGCCATAGAGCTGAAAATGTAGCAAAGAACATCTGGCACAATTGTGAGTTGATCGTCCATTATAGCATTTCTTTCTTTCTTTCTTTTTGTTCTCTTGCTTTTGTTTGTGCTTGATTAATTACTATTGATATCTAGAATTTCATCTTGAAGGTGCCAAAATCCGGCGGCAATAGGAGATTTCGTCTTGAAGCCGCCAAAATCTGGCTTGAAGCCTTGAAACTGTAGCTTGTTGGTACTTGGTAGAAGCCGCAGCGATTTCATCTTATTGATCCGGAGCTGCAGCGGTGGTGGTTTGATGGACAAACTAGGATTCTGATCAGCGGTTGAGAAGAAGTGAAAAGTGAAGACTGAAGAATAAAGAAGTAAAGAAACGACAGAGAGGAGAAGATGAGAAGAATCGGAGCTTTTTTGACTTTTTGTGGCAAAAATTGTTAAAACATTGCAATTAAAGGCTGCAATTCTTTGACAAATTACAACCCCACCTCAAATGTTTTCATTTACTTGCAAAATGAAGTCTCGTATTTCACAAATTAGTAAAAATTTGTAGGATCGTAGAATCGTACCATTCTATACGATTCTATCGATCCTACTCGATCCTATGCGGATTAATGCAATTTGCGATTCTACATGCGATCCAGATCGATTTTGGTTATCCAGATCGTATGATCCTATAATCCGGATCGCGATTTTAACAACACTGGGTTATATCCGTCCTTTTGCATTTGCTTCTTGATCTTTTTGTCTACCATGGATTGTTTCTCAGACTAAGAGTTTGATGTTCTTGGTAGTATAGTTTTGGCAAGTAAGTGGTCAAACAGAGGGATTTTTGTTCCTCCTCTTAGAAGAATGGTTCAATTTTCATCTTCCCCATCCCCTTCTAGCTTCTTCCTTTCCAAATTTTGTATTCTCAAGATTGGAAACTAACCAAAAAAAAAAAGGAAAAGAAGGAAAGGGAGAATTGAGCGATCAAACCTTTTCCTATGGTTTTAATGTGCTGTGTGCATTTGAATTTGTTAGACTATCATTCTGCATCATGTCAACATACGAAGTGCAGTATGTATTTTTTGGCATAAAGTTGCAAATTTGCCTTGCGGCTTTGGTAATCTTGAGATTTTATGAGTCAAAGATTAGCTTTCCATTATTTTTCATATTTGAAGTAACAGTTCACAACAGGCTAAAACAATCACCGGTATTGAAATTATTTAGATAATTAAAAATGGTCATATCTGTAATCTGGTACTTAAGTCTGATCTTGCCGGTGGATTTGCCATTGATGTTGCTGATGTTGCAAACTTGTAGTTGCTCAATAGTGACTACTTAATTTTATCATTCTATGATTCAGGATTACCTACAAAGTTGCTTAAAATTTTATATCCTTCAATATAATTTTGTCTATGCTCTGTCTGTGTACTGCAAACTTGTCTAATAACTGTCCAACTTTGTGGTTTCTACTCTGTCCTTGATTTGGGAACATAAAACCTCAGGACCATGAATTAAAAGGCATTTTTCTTCTCTTGTTTCTGGCTGGTGGTATGAGTCTATTTAATGGTAAGTGAAATTCGACCCTTAAAGCACAAAACATAGCTCTTGAACTTCGGAAAACATGAAGAAAATGGACAATCATTTTTCAAAAAATAAAGAAATTGTGATCTGCAACTTGGAAAGGAAAAAACTGGAAAAATACATTCTGAAACCAATTAAAATCCAAATTTGCATCAAAATAATAATTTAAACATGTGGAATATCTCCAGGGAATTAAAATCAAGAAAATTAAACAGGAATACATGTGTGATTTATTGTCAAATTACCCCATAAACTGAGGGTGGTTATTCTGCTAAGTATTGATCCTCATTTCTAATACTGTGCCTACAAAAACTCAGCTGGCATTAGTCCATTGAATCGCTTGGTATCTTTGCAGTAGTCATAGGTCATGTATTTTTGTCTGATCCAATTCATCTGTCCTAGTTTGGCAAAGCTAAGTTGACTATATGCTGGAGAGGTCCACTAGTTGCCAGGGGAAGGTAGGGCACATTGGCTGATGCTAAGTGGGCCATTCCATGTGCAAGCCCTTGGTCTAAAATTACGGATTCTAGCCCTTAGTAGCGGCCGAGACAGTGCATAGTTGTCAGTTGCTACCGTGCTGAGTCAGCACGGTAGCGACTGACAACTTTTTCTAATTGTCGGTGGCGGCTGACTTTTTCTAAAAAAAATTTGTAGCCACTGCTACCCTACAGCGATTAAAAAAAAACTATTTCCTGCCGTGCCCAGTCAGCACGGTAGGTATAATTTTGTACATAACCCTTGTCAGACATACATTTCACCGACTTTTTTTTTTGGGATATATTCTGAGAAATTAGCCCAGATATCTGGGGGAGGGACAAGTGGGTCAACCCATTGCACCAGCAAATTTCTAATTCTCGTAAGGCACTGAGGTATTTATATCCCTTGGGGATTGAAATCGACTTGAGTGAATTGCAGCCACAAACGGCTAATTTCTCTAGGGACTCAAGACCAACCAAACGTTGAGTAGCATTATTGTCAATACAAGTGTGTGGTTGGCTCAGCTCAAGTATTGTTTGGGAATCTGGACCTTCTAAAGTTTGATGAAGATCAAATGTAAAATCCAAGAATTTGGTCAAATCATGAGAAGAATTTAAATGAAGACATGCAAGATTTGGATTGTTTTGAAATAACATAATTGGTAGTTTGATGAGCCCATTCACATACTCAATGTGAAGACTAGTGAGAGTGCTAACTCCGCTACAAATATATGCCATTACTGCTGATCCATTCTTGGTCCGATAGATGTGTAATTTCTTGAGACTTGGAAAATGAGTTGGAAAAGTGGCTAATTGAGGGGAGTTATCAATCTTCATCATCTCAAGGATAGGAAAACCCACCACTGTTCTATCATGGATGATTGCTTTCGTCCATTCAGTTAAATTTAGCATGCCTTTTACAATGAAATATCCAAGTTTTGGAAACAATTTTAGGGGACTTTGATCGCTAGTGCCACTATGCAGGGCTAATTCTCCACAAAAAGAAGGCCCTATGCTTTGTTATGCGATCAAGTCCTTCCAAATGAAGAGATCTGAGGGAGGGCATGTGTCCAACAGTTGGTAACTCTTTGCACTTTGTGCAATTTTGTAGTTCAAAGTGCCTCAAATTCACCAAATTCTTGAAATTGTGTGGAAACTTTGTCATTGATTTGCAATATCCAACTCTTAATGTCTGCAAATTATAAAGTCGACAAAGAGAGTCTGGCTTTGTTTTGATTGAAGTTCTTGATAAATCAAGGTATCGCAAATGAGTTACCTTGCCAATTGATTTAGGAAGCTCCTTGACACTTGATGACCTTAAGGTCAAAACTCGCAACATAAAAAATGATATTTCTCTATCATTAAGTGATCTGTCTTCCAACAAAAAAAATGTTGTAATACACTTGAACCTTTCAGAGGGAGGAAATGGCATTTCTTTTTCACTTCTCTCTAGTGCAAGATACTGAATGGGAAACGTCTCCTTATCATCACTTCCAGACTCTGTCAACCTTAAAGTTTTAGAACTGGAAATGGATTGCACCATATCATGCACAAGATCATGCATTTTGCAATTCAAAACATTTCCATTCTCATCCTTCTCTGCATCTTGAAACAAGTTACTATCCAACAAAATGGTAAAATACATGTTACCAACCTCCTCCATACACATATTGTTTATTTGATTTGAATGAAGAAATCCTTCTGCCGCCCAAAGTTGGATCAGTTGATTCCTTTCCATTTCAAAATCCTTAGGAAAAATTGAACAATATGCAAGACACTTTTGAAGAGTTGGATATGGAAGATGATCAAAGCTCAACTTCAAAATTTTATCAACGGCAGTATTTTCACCTACACCTAAACTTTGAAGCCTACTCTCTAAAGTTTGTCATTCATCTATTCCCTTGTCGCACAGCATGCCACCGAGAACGCTTGCAGCTAATGGTAAGCCTCGACATTTTTGCGCAATCTTGAACCCTATATCTTGCAGCCTATTTGGCACTTGCCTAGTGCCAAATGCATTTTCTTTGAGAATCAGCCAACATTGATGATCTAATAATTCTTTCAATGAATACTCTTGATGAGAAGAAATTTTCATGATGTCTACCACTTGTTGGTCACGAGTGGTCACAAGAATCCAGCTCCTCATGGCTTGGCTAGTACCCCTCAAAGACCCAATAAACTCATTCCATAGTGCGGACTCTTTATTCCAAACATCATCCAAGACCAGTAGATACTTTTTACCATCCAACAATTCCTTAAGCCGATTAACTTTGGCTTCCCTACTCTCAACTTCGGGCATTGGTTTTTTCAATGATTCTAGCATCAATCTAAATTGATTCAATCGGCAAATAAACATGTGTAGTTACCTGGAGTTCAACCTCTAGTTGACTCGTAAGAAGGTGGCTCAATTCACTATTTCCCTTTGCAGGACTTCTCACCACCACTTGCAACATGGGATCCCCTTTTGTGAGCTCTAACCCTAATCATTGAGGCAATTAAGTGGTAAAATCATCATATTTCTTCTCATCCTCAGGACTGTCTCATCACGTGTGGTTTCCAAGACTCCACCTAAAATAAAAAACTCGTAACTGTCAGAGTTTTTTGACGCACGGAAATTAGATCTCTTTGTTTTTTTGGGACACGTGCCACACCACCCAAAGAACATAACCTCGATCTAAAAGCCACGGGATGTAATATCAACCGTTGGAGGTGTGAGAAAGTCTCCACCGATTACGTCCAAAATTAACATTGGACTCCACTTTTTCCTTGACTCTTGAATCACCTGTCTAGATTCACCGTTAAGTATCTCCATGCTTTTCGACTTTCCATCCTTCACCGTCAATGCTTCTTGCCAAGCGATTAAAACAAAGATATCACCCATTAAATTATTCAATTTGTAACAATTATTAATCCACTTGATCTCAATAGTTAACCAGAATCCAAACTTGAATAACCAAATTTTTGATCCAACCATTCACTTTGTTGGGATCCAAGTACTTTTGAGCACCCCAGTCTCGCAACCAAACTCTGATACCTATTTATACGAAACATTATTTGGCTAAAAATCCAAATAACAATAAGAAACCAATTCTAATTTCTAGACTTGTACAGAATAGGAAATAACTTCTAATTCTAAACAAAATAGGAAATTCATTGGCTACAACTTCAAGTAACTAAAACCAATTAGGAAACTAGTTACTTCTACACAAAATAAGAAACCTGCTTAAAAGAAATTAAGCCAATTTTCTAACAACTTACTGTATTTGAATTCAAAATAAACATGTGATATTTTTTATTAAAATATCCAACACTTTCCTTTTGCTTCGTAATAAGAGGTATCCCAGGTGGCTTGCAAATAGAGAAGTGAAGCAAGTTTTTTGGGTTTCTGGTTTTGGTAGAGGTTAGCTTGAAAAGAATACAAAAGAAGATGAAACTAGTCCACAAAGACTTGATTACAGAGCAAGAAGGGGGAAGGGATGAATTTATTGGATCATGGGAAGGGAATGTAAGTGAGAAATTTTGAATTCAAATCCTCTTACTCACACTAAAAAAAAAGATTACAAAGTAAAAAGAAAAAAAAGAAATTAGTTCATAAATAGTTAATTACAAAGCTAAAGGGGCATGCAATTGGACATGTTATCAGTGTTTTGGCAAAATGGCAGCAAAATATTTGCTAATGTAAACTGGTCATTTGTTTCCCTGTTTTAAAAATGTTAAAATCCCTATTTAATTTAATAGCTTTCAAGATTTTGTTAGGTCTCAACTAGATGTTTAATTTAAAATAGTCTAATAAAAGATCTAGAAGTAACATGCACAGATATTTATTGAGTTTGAGGTGATTGATGTCAAGTTGGAATGTGTTGCAATTTCAGAATATAATTAATATTTATTTCTTGGATCTGTAGATCTTCAGATCTACTGTACATTTGGTACGTTTGATTTATTTTCTAGTATTAATGTAGATTTCATAAATGAAATTATAATTTTTTGTCAAAAGAATTATTCAACTAAATGAATGGATATAATTTAAACATGTTATAACCATTAATATTCAACTACATGAACGTAGAGGATTGCCCTTTATACTCCCGTGCCACGAGAGGGTGACAGGTTGTCGATGCCTGTACAATAATAAAAATAAACCTAGTTGTCAATCGGAGTAATCAAAACCCAATTCTGAGTACTGGAGCAGGGACTCTAGGTGTGCAATGGGTTACTTGATTCACCCTGTTCCCGAAGAATTTACTTAATCCGATATACCAGAATGTGATTGCTTATTCACAAGGAATTATTAATTCGTAAACAGGGCAAGTAGGGTCGTATCCTCAGGGATTGGGGAGAATTCGTTTCTTTCCAAGTTCGGGATGCGGGGGTTTTTATTGGAATAAAGATAAGAACAATTAAACAATTCAACAAAAAACAAACAATTAACTAATACGAATGTAGACAGGAATTAAATCAATAATAGACAAAGTTTAGCTAAGGATACAATTTCTCAGACACAGTCCGCTCATCCGATCATCGATGCAAGGGGGATTTACTTAATTTATCAATAGGTTAGTTATAGTTGCCGACGAGTTTTGACGATCAGCCTTTCCTTAGTTTATTGATAACCAAGGTATGACCATTAATTACCCCTAACCAAGAAACACCCCTAGGTACGATCGTAGGAGTTAATTTCCTAATTGCATTAAGAATCAGAAAAGCCTAACCCTAATCAATAACACGCTACAAGAGTTATTTAGATCAGATCGTACGTTCTCCTGGTGTATATAAGCACTAGTTGCCACTGATATTAATCGATTAAACAAGTACGGATTTAATTGATCAATTTGGCAGGAGATTAACAAGTCACCTTGAATATCGGACCTTTGACATCCAATTAACAAAATAATCTCACAGAAATTCAATTAGAAAACGTGCAAATATCAACAAATTAAGGAACCTATGAAAACTAATTTGATCTCACAGATATTCAGAACTGCGTCATCACGTTGACCCTTGATTATATGAAGAGCTCAGCCACGTCTCATAAGAAAATTTCCATGCAATTCAATCGATTTCAAAGGCATCTCCTTTTCTCTAATAATCAAGAAGAATAATAAAACTGTGTTCCAGTAGTCCTAATAGAACAAACGGAAAAAACAAAAATGAAGAAACGAAGAAACGGGACAAAAGACAAAAGAACCAAGCTATCTTCCTAACAAAGAATTTCCTTTTTCAAGGCAACCTCTCTAGTTGGTTGTCCTCTCCGAATCTCTAGGGACTAATTACAAAGAGTCTTCTTCCTTTTTGGTTTCCTACTGCCAACGCACCACACGACTACCAGAATAGGAAACTTTTGTCCTTCAATTGGAGTCAACTTGTAACTCTTTGCATATTTGCACGTCTCATCTTTCACTTTTCAGAATTTTGTACTCCACCCCTGCAATTATGGCTAAATGCCAATTATAAATAGAATCCGACAATTAACAAAATATTTGGCACAAATAATGAGGGAAGTCAACAAGAAAATGACTAACAATTAACACCCTATCAGAGGGGAAAACAATACTACTCCCTCTGTTCCATTTTGATAATTTTAATTTTTTTTCACACAGTTTAAAAAAATAGTTAATTTTGTTGAAAAAACAATTTTAGATTACTATTTTTCTAAAATACCCTTACATTAAATAAAGTTGATTTTTCATATATTGATATGTTTTGAAAAATCTAAATACATTAAATGGGGTATGTTATATTCAATATTAACAATCTATATTAAATAAGGTAGTTTATAATAATAACAACTTACATTAAATAAGGATATGTTAGAGAAATTAAAAGACAATTACATTTTTTAATTGGAAAGTGGATTATAATTTGGGATGGACGAAAAAAGAAAACATGACTATTAAAATGGGACGGAGGGAGTAATTCGTAATATTCACCATGCACATGATTTACATGAAAAAAACTTCTAAAATTCACAGTCAGCAAATGTTTCGTATTACTTTGGAAGTTCCTATGCTCACAATGCTTTAGAAAAGTGTACTAGCACATTTAGCTTCTTAAAGCTAGAAAATCCATATGAAAGAGATAATAAGTAATATGTACTAATTAATTCCCAAATTCTTAAGCAATACAGGATGATTTTTAATGTTTCTGAATGTCTATAAAAGAACAAGGCATGTGAATTGACGGTCAAAGATGGAATTCAATTTCATCGAGAAAAAGAAAAAGAAAAAAAGGTAGCTGGAATTCAATTTCTCAGCATCTAACCCTGAAAAAATTACAGCTTGCATTTACTAATTAAGCTAGCATTGAAAAAGAATTACACGCATTTGTTGTTGGCACCTTTATCTATTTTCTTTTTCGTAAGTAGACAAACCTGTACGATCCATGTGTATTTCTATCTTGCGGTGGCCGGTACTTGCACTGGATTGCCATTATGTCAGATTGATTGAGGCAGTGCTCAGAAGTCTGAAGCAATACTGAATTCACTGGGCCATTTCAATAATTCACTCTGGTGGATTGAAATGGACCTTACAACCATTTCCACGGTCATCCATGGTAGACGCGTCTTTTGTTTTTTGTTTTTGTTTTTAGGCTTTTTTTATTTTTGTGTTTTTAGTCTAACCTTGAAAAATTACAGCTTACATTTACTGTTTGGACTAGCATTGGTATAGAATTTCACCCATTGAGTGTTTGGTAGCTTTCTTTGCTCAGGAAAAAGTTTGGTCTAAATTTTGCCATATCTTCTTCGTCGTGCATATAATGCTTGAGTTAATAAGATGATATGATAAATTTTAAACCACTTAATACACAGATAGAGTCATAAATCTGATCTACCAAAATTTTTGCCTCTTTTCACGAGTCTACAGACTCGTATGAAAAAACAACTAAGCTGAGCAAGGAAAAGTGTGAAAGACTTTGACTAGACAAGGGATGACTGAATCTATCCATGCGTCTTTCTATTTTGATTTTTGTGGTGGCCAATGCTATGCTCACAAGTCTGAAGCAATAATGAACTTACCAGGCCATTTCAATAATTCAGTGTGGGTTTTGACAAAAAAAAAATAAAATAAAATAAAAATTCAGTGCGGGTGGGATTGAAAAGCAACCGACAACCATATAGTCATCCATGGTAGATGGCCAGACACATTTTGTTTGATGCATTTTAGATTTTTTAGATTAATTTGACTAACTTTTAACTTTATCCCTAATATCTCATTGAGCAGAGATTTTGAAAGAGATAAAGGGTAAAGCACACGTTCTGATGAATTTTTTTTTATCATATTTTAAACACGATAAGTTTAA